CCATCAGACCCAAGGCACAGGAGACCCAGCACCAGCTGGTCCTCTCCCCAGGCCCATTAACTCCTGCCAAGGGCCCCAGGCCCACGCTGGTGCTAGAGATATTTGAGGTCTCATCCGCACCCTGAATTTCACTTCCTCACACAAGGATTTGGACCGTAAGTGTGGTCACAGGACCCCCGTCCACACTGTGGCCTCCCAGGACTGGACTTCCACCTCCTCACATCGAGTCTGCCTAAGGTTAGAACTCAGTCGCACCTTCCTCCAGCCTAAGCAGGCTTCTAGAACTTTCTCTTTAGGGCAAGAATGTGACTATTTTTCATATTGAAACCAACTATGAGGAATTATAAAAACCTTAGTTTCAGACCACATTGTCAAATTTAGGGAATAAACATCTCCTGAGCACTTGCTATATGAGCCTTCGTGGTGTCTCTTACCCTGGTGGAAAATAATTAAACACGAGTACACACATGCACACAAACACACAGACATTTGGGCAATAAATTTGTAGGGAAAAATACCAATTTCAAAATAACATGATACCCCTAGCTTCCCTTCAGGCTGACCCGTAATTTAAATGTTAATAACATCCGATTTTGAACATGTACATGGAAATGGGAACTCTTATTCACAACTGGGGAAGTAGAAATAAACTTAACCATTTCGGGGATTGTCCTGTAGCTACAAAAATGGGAAATTCATGCAGCCTTTGACCCATTCATCTTCCACTTCTAGAAGTCGATCCACAGAAATACCCACACCAGCACCCTGAAGAAACGTATGCATAGATGCTCTCGGTAGTAGTGCGGTAGTTGTAAAAACTGGAAGCAAACCAGACATTTATCAATGCCGAAAGTGGTCAAATACAACACCACAACACGGCACAATGCTTTCCAGCTCTTCAAAAGAATGAAATGGACTTGGAAAGATGTCCATGCCATTTTGTGTAATTATAAAGACCAAGGATCTGTTTAGGTCATTATGTATAGAATAAGCCTATTTTATTTTTTTTTTTATTTTTTTTTTTTTTTGTCTTTTTCCTTTTTATCGGTACCAGGGATCGAACTCACGACTGCCTGCTTGCAAGGCAGGCGCTTATGCCACTGAGCTAAATCCCCAGCCCCCAAGCCTATTTTATAATAAAGACTATTCAGTAGTTTGTATTTGAATGTATAAAAAATATAAAAGTTTGCACAAATGAAGAAAAATCAGGAAAAATATAGTAAACTAAATTGCTAAATAAGGAAGCACTCCAAATTCACCTCCAATACCATAGAAGTTATTGCTCTAGTTCTCATAATAAGAAAAAAGCTGAACAAGCCAGGCATGGTGGCACACACCTATAACCCCAGCACTCCGGGAGGCTGAGGCAGGAGGATCACAAGTTCAAGCCTAGCCTGGGCAACTTAGTGTCTCAAGGAAAGCATGTCTCAAAATAAAGAGCAAAAGCATTTTTTAAGGCCTGGGGAAAAAGGGGAGATTTAGTGTGAAGGCCCTAGGGATTCAGTCCCCATTCCTGAAGAACAAAAGTGAGAGAGAGACAGAGAGAGATTTTAAAAATTTAAAAATCAATTTTCTTTCTTAGAACAATAGGAAATTTGAAGTTATAAACAACCCACCACCTCAAAACCTGGATTAGCTCACCTGAAACAAAAAACCCACAAGACCATTTCAAGTGATACAGAAAATGAAGTTGACACAATTAAATATCATTGACTATTTTTTTTAAAGACTCAATAAACTTGGAATAGAAGGGAAATTCCTCAGCATGAAAAACCATCAGTTAACAACCTATTCAGTGATAAAAGATTGGAACTTTTCCTCCTAAGATCAGGAACAAGACAGTAATGCTGACTCACTTGACTTGTATCCAACACAGCCCTGGGAGTTCAAGCCAAAACTACGAGGCAATAAAAAGAAACAACAGGCATCCAAACTGGAAAGAGAGACGTCCAATGGCCTGCATTTGCGTGGGCGCCCAACTTCTCCACCGCTGTGCCCAGTATGGATTTGTTTTTGCTGCAGTAACCCTGCAGGTGGGTGTGCGGTGTCGCCCTGCCGCAGGCTCTGTTCTCACTACCCAGGTGACTGCACCGAGAACCCTTTCACATAGTTATTAGGCATTTGTGTCTTTGGTCTACTCAAATCCCGGGCCCACTTCTAATTTTTAAAATTATGTTTCTTGCTTTATTGTTAATTAGGTTGTCCGTTTCATTACTGTTGACTTCTAGGGTTTTTATATTTTCTGGGTGTTGACTCTTGATCACATATATACATTTTGCAAATATTTTCTCATTCTATAAGTTGTCAATGAAAATAAAGAGATCAACAGGGGTAAATATATAAAACTGAAATCTTTTACTTTGGGGACAACATAAACAAAACCGAGAGACCTCTAGCATGACTAACAAGGGGAAAAAGACTCAGATCACTAATACTGAAAATGGAAGCATGTCGCTATTGACCTAGCTGATTGTAGGATTATCAACACACGTTATAAACAACACTGCATCCACCAGTTTCATTACCTAGATTAAATGGACCAACTTCTTCAAAAATAGGAACTACCCAAGCATAAATATATAACCTGAACACCCTACATCTATTTTTAAAATTGAATTAGTAATTAATATTATTCCCAAAAAAGAAAGCAACAGACTCAAATGATTTCACAGGTAAATTTAAGAATAAATTATGCCTTCAAACTGTCTTCAAACTTTTCCAGTAAAAGAAAGCAGGAAGAATGCTTACTAAGTAACGCCTTCCAGGGGGCCAGCATTACCCTTACCACCAAATCATACAACGGCATTACAAGAAAGAAAAAGTATGAATCAGTATCTCTCAAACATAAACCTGAAAAGCCTCAAAAATAGTACCAAGCAAAACCCAAGCATGTATGAAGCAAATTATGCTGGGACATGTTCCAAGTGTGTGAATTTGGTTCAAAAGTTAAAAACCAGTTTAAGTAATCTACCACATCCACAAGAAGAAAATCCTACAATTATGTCAGTAGATGCAGAAAAATCACTCGACAAGACCTAATGCTTATTCATGAAAAAAAATAAAACAGAAAATTTGGAAAATACTGATACTTCCTCCATTTGACTAAAAAAAAAATTTAAAAACCACAAAAGCCCAAAAGCCCAAGAGCCCAAGAGCTAACTTAATTCTTAACAGGGGAAACTAGATCATTTTCCCTTAAGAAGGGAAGTGCGGCAAGGATGTTCCCTCTCCCTGCTCCTACTCAACAAAGCACTGAACACCTAGTTAATGTCTGAAGATGAGAAAAGGAAAACAAAAGTATACAGGCTGGGATGGTAGAAAATAAACCTGTGTTAGCCAACTCTCTCTCTATAAAACCCCAAAGAATCATTAACAGCAATAAAAGTAATAACACCTAGGGTTCATAAGCAATTAGAGGAAACCTGCCAGACATAGTTAATATGTAAAGAGCATTGCTTTGCTAAGTATCAGCAAAGGATCACTGGAATTTGAAAGTGGAAACATTACCATTTATGTTAGCACCAAAAAATTAAATGCTTATCCATTAATTTAACAAAATATGCCCAGGATCGATAGGAAAAAAACTGCAGGCTTTGTGCAAGAAAAAAGAATATCTAAATAAGCAGAGATAAAAAAGACTTGACACTGTTAAGATGATGATCCTTCCCATTGATTTATAGCTTTAATGCAATCTCAATCAAAACTGAGCAGATAGCTTTATAGACACCAACAAGAAACCAGTTTTGAAGTGTTTTTTGGAAAATCAAAAGACTTAGAATAGTCAACATAAAAACTGAACAAGAGACCAAAGGCCCTGAACTTCCAAAATTTAAGACTTAATGTAAAGTTAGACAATTAAGACAGGGTTACTACCGACAAAAAAATAGAAAAACTGATTGGCAGACATAGAAGCTATAAGGAGCCCAGACATAGGCCCATGCTAATTAAATCAACTGATTTTTGATAAAAGGGAAGAAACAAATGAACAGGTGATACCGAAATAATTGTATATTCACACAAAAAAGAATTTAATTTAGATATAAGTTCTACATCTTTTACCAAAATTAATTCATATGAGCCTTAAGTCTACACACAAAAAAATAGAACTTCTAGTAGATAGCCTAGGGTGAAAAAAATCAAGATGACCTTGTATTTTTTAAATAAGTTTTTAGATCCTATACCATAAAATTTAAAAATAACAAGTTGGATTTAATTAAAAGTGAAAACACCGAGAGAATGAGCAAAGTAGGTCACACACTAGAAGAAAATATTAGTGCAGAAACATCTCTGATGGAGAGTTTTTATCCAAAACATAAAACAAACCCTGTTACAAGGAGCAAAGGGAAACAAACAACTGAGCTTTAAAAACAGGCACAGTTCTGAGCAGAAAAGCCTTACCAGATGACACACAGACGGCAAAAACCATGCCAAGAGTCTCGGCCTCACGTGCCATTGCAGAGTTGCAAATCACCGCCACGAGCTACTGTGCACGGTACTAAAAGGGTCTTTTTTAGCAGGGCCGGCCGTGCCTAGTGCAGATGACCGTGCAGGTGTGGAACATACATGGCAACGTGCGTGGACTGGTGGTAGCCACGCAAAGCCACCTGGCTGCTTTGGAAGACAGCATGGCAGTTGGTGTCCACTAATGAAACTCACTGACCATTCTAAGTTACTACTCATTTGAGCTCAAAACTTATGTTCAAACAAAGATCTGTGTGGAAAGTGTGTGAAATCCCCTTTATATACAGTAGCTCCATGCATCTCCCACTACATTAAGTCCCTTTTATAACTGCCAAGGAGGGTGGCAGTGACCAAGATGTCCTTCAATAGGCAAAGGGATATTAAAATGCTGGGGTGCCTCTATACAGGGGTGCAGACAACACCTGTACCAAAATGCAATATCCTTCTCTGATTTAAAAAAAAAAAAACTGACAAATTAGGAATAGAAAGTAGCTTCGCCCTCAGACAAAAAACAGCCCAGGATGTCCCCTGTCACCACGCATATTGGATATTATTACCCTGGTGGCACTGGCCCAGGCGGAGGCAGGGGTTACCTGGGCTAGAAAGGCAGAAGTGAAGCCATCCACAGCCAGACGCCGTGGGACGCGTGAGGAGGGTTAGGTCCGAGTGAGCTCCTCCGCAGAGCTCCCAAACAGCCCTGCAAGCTCTCACTCTGCATCCTCCACCGGGATTCTTGAGACACGGTGGGCATCAGGACTATCAGGTGGGCTAGAAAGCATGCAGATTTAGTTTTTGGGAAGTACGCAGAATTCTGAGCCTCCCCCTAAGTGTGGTTGTGTCCAGGGTTTCCAAAGGATCTGCATTCTTTCTTGGGGAACAGGGTCTGCCAGCTGTACTTGGAGTACAGCTGGCGTCTAGAATTTTCTTTTTGCTGAAGGAAGTGGAGGAGTTTATTTGATGCAAAGCCTTTTGGTAAAGTCTTCTCATTGGTCCTTGTTCGAGTTAGAGCTGTGTTTCTCATTCCAAATTACATCAGGCCCAGAAAGCCTAATTCACTCGGGGAAGCTGAGGCTTTGGAGATGAAAGCAGGACGGGGTGACAGGCAGAGGGGAGCCCAAGCCCAGAGCACAACCCAGAGAAGCATCGGCATCACTGGGCTTTGTGTTGGCTTCTAATTGCTTTTGCGGACTGCATATTACTTGTTTTTCTTTACTGAGATTTCTTATCGCTCCGTTCCTTGTGAGTATATCTTGTGTAATTTTCTCTTCTCTTGTGTGCCTGTGTGTGCTACCAGAGATTGATCTTAAGGCCTTTGCACTGAGCTACAGCCCCAAACCTCTTTTGATTTTTGGTTTTGACACAGGGTCTCACTAAATCACTGAATTGCTCGTGCTCGGTTTCAGTGTGTGATCTTCCTGCCTCAGCCTCCCAGAGTGCTAGGATTACAGACATGTACCACCACACCAGGCTGCTTTTTCATTACCTTCTTGTGCACGGTTATAATAGGTACACTTTAATATTTATTTGAAATCCTAATGTGTGGCCATCTAGATTAGTTTTGTGGTTATCTTTTCAGGGTTCCTGTTTCTCATTTGCTAAGTGATACTTGGTTGCATCCTAGAATTGTTACATTACAGAGATTCTGGCTTCTGTTCCACCCCTCTGGAAAAGATTGAGTTGTTGCTGCTGCCCTGTTGTTGTTGTTGTTGTTGTTGTTGGAGGAGGAGGAGGAGGAGGAAGAGGAGAAACAGGAGTTTGAGGAGGAGGAGGAGGAACAGCATTAACCTGTCAGGCTCAAACTCTTACGCTGTCTCCAGAGAAGGGAGCAGTGGCTGAATCCCAGCTCAGGAATCTCAGTGTCACAAGTGCCCAGATAGGCACCCATGCCCGGTGTGACCCCCCCCCAGGGCTCTTGCTCTCTGTCACTTCCCTTCTGTGACCCCTTTCCCTTTCCATCACTTTCTGTGATTGCCCCAAGCTTGACCATCAGCTTCAAAATGAAAAAACATGTGAATTCCGGGTTCTCACCTCGCTCAGGTCCTACCCCTGACCCAGCACTGTAAAACTGGGGACCTTGCTCTGCTTTTGGTAGCTGGTCACCCCATCACCCCATCCCCAGAACTTGTGTCATTTGTTGGTTTTCATTCCAGGCCTTATAGCTCTTGTTAATCCAAATGTGACGCGTATCTGGTTGCCTAGGAACACAGCCAGCCACTGCCCAAAGGGAAGTGCAGTTGTGTTACCATCTACACACTGAATAACGGGGCACATTCGATATGTGGGAGCTCCCAGGAGCAGGTCCTTGCCTGGAGTTAACAGGTGCCTGGTTCACAGCGGGCACTGATCCCAAGGCCTTTGCCCCAGGCTCCATCCGCAGCCCTCCCTAGCGGAAGGTGGGTAAAGTGGTTCAGCACAGCCTTCCCAGCCCCTCTCCTCTGACCTCCTGCAAGGACTTGGGACGTGGTCACTGGTGATGTCCAAGGGACCTGCTGTAAATCAAACCCTCTAGGTGAAGCCGCTGCTCTGAGAGGGAAGCCCCTGTCTTAACAAGGACAGAGTCTCAAAGTCTCTGCATTCACTGGGGCCTTGAGAGTCTTTGCTTTGTCCGCAATCTTGCTGCCAATTCCCCAGGCTGTTGTGGGACAGGGTAAGTCTCCCAATCTGATGCCGCTATCAGGACCTCTGCCCTTTACAGGAGAAAGAGAAAGAGAGACAGAGACAGACAGAGAAGGAAGGAGGGAAGGATGGAAAGGAAGGAAGGAAGGAAGGAAGGAAGGAAGGAAGGAAGGACCTGAGTGAGGTGAGAATCCGTAATTCATGTTTTTCCATTTTGTCAGCTGATGCACAGGTCATGCTTTATGCTTTTTTACTTTTTTCCTTGTTCTGAGGATTGAAACCAGGCACTCACACTGACCCACATCCCCAGCCCTTGTTTATTTTCTCTTTTGAGACAGGGTCTTTCTAAATTGCTCTAACCTGCAATCTCCCTGCCTCAGCCTCCCAGGGCTCTGGGATTACAGGTGTGCACCACTACGCCTGGCTGAACTTCCTCTTTAGTGACAGGGGTCCTAGTGATCTCTAGTTCCACCACACAGCTCTCAACTCTCCACATGTCTGTCTTTGCAGACACACTGGGGGCCCCTGCCGTCCGTTCAGATGGAGTCCTGGGGAACCCCCGAGACTACCACCTATTATGATTATGACCACCTGAGCTTCCTGTGCGAGAATGAGGTCATCGCCTTGGCCACCTTCACCACCACCGTCCTGTACTCTCTGGTGCTGCTACTCAGCCTGGTGGGCAACAGCCTGGTGCTATGGGTGCTGGTGAAGTATGAGAGCCTCGAGTCGCTCACCAACCTCTTCATCCTCAACTTGTGCCTGTCGGACCTGGTGTTTTCCTGCCTGCTGCCGGTGTGGGTGTCCACCTACCACTGGGGCTGGGTGCTGGGGGACGTCCTGTGCAAGGCGCTCAACATGACCTTCTCCGTCAGCCTCTACAGCAGCATCTTCTTCCTCACCATCATGACGGTGCACCGCTACCTGTCTGTGGTGAGCCCCCTGTCCACGCTGCGTGTCCATACCCTGCGCTGCCGTGTGCTGGTGACCACAGCTGTGTGGGTGGCCAGCGTCCTGTCCTCTGTGCCCGACGCCATCTTCCACGAGGTGATTGATGATCAGTGCGAGTATGCGAAAATACAGGGCCTGCTGGCCTCGGTCTACCCGCACAACTTCATCTTCCTGCTGTCCATGGTGACTATCTTCTTCTGCTATGTGCAGATCCTCAGGACCCTGTTCCACTCCAGGTCCAAGCGGCGGCACCGGACGGTGCGACTCATCTTCACCATTGTGGTGGCCTATTTCCTCAGCTGGGCCCCGTACAACCTCATCCTGTTCCTGCAGACGCTGGTGAAGGTCGGCGTCATCCAGAGCTGCGAGCTCCACCGGCGGCTTGAATTCGCCGTGCTGGTCTGCCGGCACCTGGCCTTCTCCCAGTGCTGCTTCAACCCTGTGCTCTACGTCTTCGTGGGGGTCAAGTTCCGCAGGCACCTCAAAAGCCTCCTGCAGCAGCTTCGGCTGTGCCGCCCGCAGGCGCCCAGCCCACCCCCGCTGCCCCGGTCCCCAGGCGCCTTCACCTATGAGGGTCCCTCCTTCTACTGAGGGGAGGGACGGCACATACAGAAGTGGACAGGGCACCCAGAAGGGGACAAGGAGACATAGACAGAGAAGGTACAGTGCAGCAGAGATGCTGCTGATCACTGCGGAGGTGAAGAGGGATGTGGTACTGGGGGCCTCTCTGAGGGAAAGGGGTCCCCACCTGGGATTAATCCTGCCACACAGGACAAGACTCTTCACGCACAGTCACTCCGACCCATAGTGCTCATCCCTGCTAAATCTCCTAAAACACAAAGGGCTCCCAGATAAGGGGCCTCTTTCTAGCCTTTGTGAGGGTTGAGGCTCTGCCGCTCCATGAGTGTAATTAGGTACAATGCAGGCAGCTTCCACAGCAGCCTCCCCACCCAGGCCACACTGTCCCCCAGCTCATCTCTCCCCCTTAGAAGAGACTCAGTGACTGCTGGGGAGGCTGCCCAAAATGCAAGAGTGACCACATCCTCCAAAAAGCACAGCAAAACCTAACTCCAAAGCCTCTAACTAGACTGAAGCTGGTTGTGTGACCCGGCTCCAGACTGTTCCATGAAACCTGCCTTCACCTCTGCAGCTCATGAGATCCACCAGAGAAGTAAGCACCGAGGGTGCTGCCTTTCGCACTGAGTCTATTTGAAGGACCCAGAGATGATCAGGCAACGGTTCTCCCCTCCAGGTGGGATCAGCACAGCCTGGAGGTCTAGGAGTTTTCTCCTGCAATGAATCGTCCCTTGCAAATGCAGGAACGCTGACTTGGTCACTTTCCCCTAGATGTCCCATTCAGGCAGGACTGAAGGGTCCAGCTTTCCCCATCCTCACACACCTCTTGGAGCCCGTACCTCCCTTCCTTCACCCACACCCCATGCCAGGTCCCATGCTGCTTCCCCAGCGCCTCCCTGGAACCTCTGACCCCTGCAAGACAGCTGAAACCTGAAGTCCCCTGGGTTCCACTGCATCTTCCTGCCACTCCCGTCCTCCACAGCCAGGCTCTCCTAGGATCTTAAAACCCTTCCCAGCTCCCACTTGCTTTCAAATAAAGTGCAAACTGCTGAGAAAGGTTCTCCTGGCCTCCACCAACTGGTACCAACCAATTTTTCAAACATCCCACTTGCAGCCCCTGGGTCCCAGCTTAGGGTCCAAACTGAGACTCTTATTCCCCAGTCCCCTGTCAGGCGGTCGCCTGAGCCTGGACCTCTGCTCCTTTTCTTCCCCAGGCTCCCAGCTCCAGCTGAGAGACCAGGTCCTGCAGGAAGCTTCCCCATTCTACAAGTCCAAGGGGTGCTTTGGGCCATTGTCCCTCTTGGCAGTATTTGTCAGGCTCTGGCTCTCAAGCTGTCTCACACCTGGCTGGAAAGAGCCTGACCTCGAGCCCTGGGGTGCTAATGCTGAGAGAAGAGAATAACAGCTGTCTCCTTCCTTGCGCTCTGTTGGGGCCATGCCACAGGGCACACTGGACCTTCCTTGCCCCAGATTGCTCTTGTAGAAATATTGATCTTCTTGCCCGGTCCACACCCTCAAAGCAAATTGCTGACCACTGTTGATGCCCGTAGCTCTGCTGTCCCTTGCCTCCTTTTGTGGTCCCCAGGGCTTCCTCTTCCAGGGACCTGCAGGTTCCCACCAAGGGCACAGACACAAGCTGTCCTATAATCTCCATGCCGATATGGCACGGGCCTAGTTTGTGAACCTGACTTTGCTCAGGGATGAGAGTCTGGAAATCGCCCAACAGGATTCTAACTTGTGCCCATCCACACTGTTAGGAACACAGGGCTGCACTTGAGAGCCCCTAGAGACTCCAGATCCCACACTGTCCCTGCAGCAGGATCTTGCAAGCCGAAGCCATGAATATGCCCTCATTGAATGAACTGGCTTCTCAAAGCCCTAAGCCAGGGCCTGGAGAGCTGGCAGAGCGTTCTCCCCTTCAGTCCCAGCTGCAGACCCATCCATTGACTTGTCATGGGCTGGGGACCTGTCCAGGGAAGATCATGGGTCTATCTTAGCAAGAAAACTAAGGGCGCCTGCTAGAGAGGCAGAGATGGCACCTTGGCAACAGGATAAGAACCCATGGCCTCGCTACCTCACTCAGCACTCTTGGGTGTATGTAAGAATTTGTGCTCAGTTTGTGAGCCCTTCTCCCCTAGGTGAACATGAATTACTACAGAACCATTTCATAAATAACAAGGAGCGGTCTGGATTCCATGCACGAGTCAAAGATCTGCCTGTTTTCACTTCTGTTTGTCTCAGTCTGGGCTGCTGTGACTGGACCCCACTCTGTCCACAGCCCAGACTCTGTGTCCATTTTTCTCCCCAAGAACAAGAAGGTTCCTAAAAGGTCCCTGCCTCAGAGCATCTGGGTCAGACCTGGGCTAGAGAATGAAGGACACAATGTGGGCCAGGTGGCCAGGGGCGGCCAGAGGCGGCACTAAGGACTTTGGTGTCTTTCAGACTTTGTGGCCCCACTTCCTGTCCCTATCTCTCTCTTGATTGACACTTAAGTCTTCTGACTCCAAGGCCAAGGGATTGATTTCTTCTTCGCTGAAAAAGGATCTTTTGGGGATGTCCCCATAATGAGAAGAAACGATTAATTCCTGCTGGGAATTTAGTGTCCTGAAAACCAGGTGGAAAATGTTTTGGTGCTTGGAGAGAATTTCAGAAGGGAAAGAGAGGCTCTCATAAGTCTTTAGTGAGTTATCTGGGTACAGAGCTTTACTCTCCACAGGGGCCACCCCAGGTCTTACACTGTGGGGATTCTGCAGCCTCTTTCCCAGCCCCATGGACTCCTCCACAAAGGGAGGAGTGGCCAGAAGGATAGAGGGAGTTCCTTGCCTTGGCCATTGCAGAAAACCAGCCTTGCGTATCACTGGAGCTTGCAGGGAAGGTATACGTGCTAACCGGGGGTTCTCTGAAAAATGACTTAATTTGCAAATAAGATCATTGTGGATGCCATTGAGATGAGACCAGAGGAGTAAGGAGAGACTTGAATCCAATTTGCCTGGAGTTCTTATCAGAGGGGGAAGTCTAGGCCAGGACACAGGTAAGGGGAGAAGCCCACAGTAGGGCTGGTGTTGCATTGTCTCTGCTCTGAAATGCTGCAGGCTGCCATCAGGTGCTCGGAGAGACACAGAGAGCCTTCTGTCACTCAGAGCCCCAGGAGAAGCCTAGCCCAGCAGCACCATGCTCTCAGCCTCCAGGTTCCCAGCCTCAGAACTCTAAGACCTAAATCAACAGGAAGCCTTGCAAATGTCCAGGCAGACTCTGTTGTGCTAACACAGGGTCCATGTTTCAGTGGGTTGGAGGGGAATCTCAGGGCAACTCCAAACCTCCCAGGATGCTCCAGGATCCACCCTAAATACCCTGAAACCTCCACCTACCGAAGGACATCCACATGAAGTCCAAAGCTGAGTTCCATGGACCTCGATATATACAGGTCACAGCCATCAGTCCTGGTTTCCCTTCCCGCCATTTTGGCCAATGGGGACATCATGGACCAGAGAGGTCACACTGCAATATCCCACGCTGTGCCAGGTCGTGTGGGACATTTGAAAAGATACCAACACCTGCTGTTTCACCCAGCAATCCTGTAGTAATTGGTCTGCACACATGAGATTGAGGGGAATGCTTTAGGTCTAAATGTGTCTGCAAGTTGGTGCAGAAATTTCTGGAATGAGCCCATTTCTCACATTTCCATCTCCACTGCATGGTTGAGAGTTCTCTGTCCGTGATCAGCAAAGCATCACACACCACATCACACACCATGATGCTGTCAAGTCCTCTCGTTCCACACACAGTCGAGTCTCTGCCTTTAGACACCAAGCAGTTATCCCATTTCTGAGGTCCTCTGCGGTGCCCATCCCCAAACCTCAGTCTCCTGAGCAGCGTTTGCCGCTTGTGCCACCATGGCCATCTATTTCTTATCCGCTCTGTGATCCTCTTTCTCTCATCTCTTAGCAACAGGGATACAGAGTCTCTTTGAGTTTAACAACTACCCTTCCATCACAGATTATGAAACTAGAAACACAGGGAGAGAGAGATTTGGGGGAGACCCAAGAGCTTGAGGTCAACTTTGGTTCTTTTCTTTTCCTCAGAGTTTATGAGCAATTCCTGAGCAAAGTTTTTCAGCTATGCCTCAGGATTCAATTGCTTCTCACTCTACTCCTTCTGCTACCACCTGGCTCACTTCTTCCCTGGTCCCTATAGTTTCCTCTTCTGAACCACCATCCTCCTCATGGTTCCTACACACATGGGGCGCCATCTTGATTCAGAGCTTTTGCCCAAGCCGTTCCTCCAGATGTGCACAGGGCTCCATTGAGACCACCTCAGCATGGGGTCTTCCTCATGGCCTGCCAGCTTCCAGGTTGTCAGATTTCTCACATCAAAGTTCAGAGCTCCAACTGCATAACATCTGTTGGAAGCACATGCTGTCCCTTCTGCCTTTCTCTGTTGATGGAAGCAAAACACCAGCTACCCAGACCCAAAGACAGAAATTGGACTCCCTTCTTCATGGGGGAATAGTAAGGTTACATCGTAGGACACACAAAAGTACAAATGTTACTGTGACCGGTTTTGGAAAATACGGTTCTCACTGTGGTGGTCAGTTTCTTGCCACTGTTACACTATGCCAGAGAAAAACAACTTAGAGGAAAACATTTATTCCAGCTCATGGTTGGTTACCTGCATTTCTATTAGGCCTTTAACAAAGTGGGAGTGTGCAGTGGCAGACTGAAACCAGATAAAAGGGAGCTGGGGGCCAGGTAGAGTTTTCAAGCTCACAGTAAGTCATCCACCCCCTCAACATGGCTTAAACTGCTGTTCCTGTCAGCCCCCAGTCATGCCACTGAAATATAATCTCTGCCAGCTAATTCACTGGATGAAGTGAGAGCCCTGGAGAGCCCGTCTCCATCCTAAAGCCCATCCTCTGGGCACATGAACTTCTGGGGGCACATTTCGGACCCAAGCCACAATACTAACACAGGTCCCTCCTCCCACCTCACTTTGTAGGGAGCTGCTGAAGCTGGACATTGATCACCTGTGTGGGGCTAGAGCAAGGCCAGCCCTGAAAACACAGAGAGCTCAAAACAAGCGATGTAAACAAGTTGCTCTGGCTTCAAGAAGGCAACAGGCCCAGGCCAGCCAGGCACACTAGTTCCTAGGCAGTAAATTGACGTGGACCTCCTCCTGCTGAGTGTATAAATAGACCTGGTGCAGTGGCTGAGCAGCTCCTTCTCTCCCATCAGGAGAGTAAGGGCTTCACCTGACCCTAGCTTTTGTCTTTTCTTTATTTTCTCATCCTCTGGTGCTACTTCACCCCAATAACCTCAGAAGCCACATGGCTCATGGCATCACTTGAGCACCCAAATTTCTGCCTCACAAACTTGAATCCACTCATGGCTTTGTGGATGAGAAATACAGGAAGGGCTCAACAGGAGGGTTCCCACCTTGGGTGGCTGGACCAGGAAGATGCTTAAGGTCAGAGTGTAATTGCATGCCTGGCAGAGAAGGCTGGCACCACTGGGCTGCAGATGTGGCCACTGCAGCAAGGAGTTCTGGACACCCTACATAGCAGTTGCTCCTGCAGAAAACAATTTCAGGGAACCAGTGGAGACTGCACTGTCCACTCCTATCCAGCCTCTGACACCACCTTTGACACCCACTGGAGGTCAGAAGTGATTCACAAAGCTCAGCCTGGATTCAAAGGGCAAAGGCACAGATGTCCCTCTCTATCGCTGAATGAGACTGTGGACAAGTTTAAAACAGCACCAAGCTTCCATCTCACTCCAGGCAGAATGGCTATGATCAAGAATATAAAGAATAGGGCTGAAATTTTAGCACAGCAGTTCAAGCACTTTCCTGGTAAATGCGAGGTCCTCAGTTCCATCTCCAGCATAAAAAAATAATAATAATATTAAAACCAACAACTGCTGCTGAGGATGGAGGTTGGGGAGAACCCTTGTACACTGCTGGTAGGGATGTCAATTAATACAGCCACTTGGAATATAGAGTTTTCTAAAAAAAAAAAAAAAAAGCAAGAAAGAAAAAAGAAATAAGACCATATGACCCAGCCCTATTCTCTTTAGTATGTTCCTAAAAAAATACTGTAGACATACTTGCATGTCCACATTGATTCCAGCACAATTCACAACAATCAAAGTATGGAAGCAGCCTAAAGCCAGTCATCAACAGGTGAATGGATCAAGAAGTGTACAGATGGGGGCTGCAGATTTAGCTCAGCGGCATAAGGGCCTGCCTTGCAAGCAGGCAGTCGTGAGTTCGATCCCTGGTACCAATAAAAATGAAAAAGACCAAAAAAAAAAAGAAGTGTACAGATACACAACCAAGTATTATGCGATCATAAAGAAGGAAAACATGGCATTTACAGGAAAACCGATGGACCCAGAGACCATCAGAGTAAGTGCAGAGACCCAGACTCAGAAAGTCACAAGTGGACTCTGGAAATAAACAAAATGACATGAAAGTAGGTGTGGTATTAAACTAGAGAAGGAGGATTACAGGGAGGGAAAAGGTGAAGGTAAGGAAAGATAGGAGGAGGTGGATCAAAGCTAACCTGCACACTAGACCACATTTAAATTTGTTCTGAAAAAAAATATTCCTGGTGGGAGGACATGCCTGTCCTGGGTAAACAAGAGAACAGTGGCCACTCCTTTCTCTAGGGTATGCTGTTTTCTCTGATTAAAACCCAAAGTGCGGGAGACGGGGAGAAGCCTGAATCTGTGTTATGAAGAGCTTATTTTACAATTTTAGGAGTGTTTAATTGGAGGTGCTTTTGAAACATCTGTATCAGTCAATATGCCTTAGATCTAAAACACGCCTCCCCCCAAAGTCTCCTGTGTGGAAGGTGGGACTGGGTTCTGGGGTGCTGTACTCAGCCCTAGTTAAGCCTAGAGCTGTTACAGCCTAATTACTGCTAACCAGGGCCAAGAGCCTTGGCTGAAGCTCCGTGTGCCCTGTCCCTTTCCTCTACTGTGCCCTGCAGACACTGTGCCCTGAACGCACTGTGCTCATTGTGCCCAGCTACACACTCACCAGCCCAGACCAGCTGGGGCTGTAGGGTGGTTCATTAATGAACACTGTTTTAATATGGATTTGTAAGTCCCAGAGTTAGCGCAGGGGACCTAAAGGTGGGATATTCAGTCCAGTAATATCAAACGTGTCTCACTTAACACAATATATCAAACATAGTGTCAATATGGAAGAACATGAAAATATCAATGAGCTGTTACTTCTTATTTTTATTTATTTATATTTTTTTTTAGTAAGTCTTTGGGATCACAGAGTATTTTTCCATCAAGTGTTCAACAGGCACACAGACAGCGCTTCCCCCAGGGTCCCAGACCTGATGTTCTGGTACCATCGCCCTCCACAACTGCAAAGTACTCAGCAGGCACATGGGTGAGGGCTCGGAGCTGAGTCCTGGAAGCAGAGCATGCCAGACCTCTAGTACTCACCTGCTATCCCGCGGTGTTCGATGGGAGTTGTAGGCCGCAGCCACACACAGCATGCCGGGAATCGTAGTTCGCCCCGCCCTCTATAGAGCACACCTGTCACACCATACTGTATGCCCTTTGGTACTCTGTATGCCCTTTGGTACTCTTCCGCCCAACCCAAGAAAGTTTCGATTCTGGTCGACCAGGGACCCACCAGCGAGTAAGTGCCCCCAGCGACCTGCAGGGCTCTGAGGGATCCGGGGCAGCCTCCCCCAAAGAGTGCCATAGGGCTCTGGGAATCAGCTATTGGCTGGAGCGCCCCTGCCCATCCCAAGAGCCCCGCAGACCCTGCCCAGGGGCCTTGTCCCCTGTGGACCTCAGAGTAAGAGGCCTGGAGCAGGTTAGTCCTGAGGACCCCAGAGAGCTATTCTGATTTATGGCCTGGCATCGCAGGGGAGTGCAGTTGCGTTACAGTCTACACTCTAAGTAATGGGGCAGAACTGGATGTCGGGGTGGGGGGGATATCCCAGGAGCAGGTCCCTGCCCGGAGTTAGCACGGTACCGGGTGCCCAACACAGAGTGGGCAAAGGGAATGGGCACTGATCCAAAACTTTGCCCTGAGTTCCATCCTCAGCCCTCTCTTGCAGAAGGTAGGTGATTGGGGTTCAAAAGAGCTTTCCCAGCCCCTCTCCTCTGCCCTCTTGCAAGGATTTGGTATGCGGCGCTGCTGATCTCTGAGGGCCCTGCTCTAAATCAAACCCCCTAGATGAAGCCGCCACTGTGAGAGTGACGCCCCTGTCTTAGCAAGGACCAGGTCTCCCGGAATCTCCAGGTTCTCTGGGGCCTTGAGATTCTTTGGCTTTGTCTGTGTCCTTGCTGCCAATTCCCAGCATGTTCTGGGGCAGGGGAAGTCCCCTGATATGATGCCACCTGTCAGGATCTCTGCCTTTTGCAGGGGTGAGAAATGAAAGAAAGAGAGAAAGGAAGGGAGGAGGGAGGGAAGCATCGTAAATGCACCTCCGACATTTGCTGAGGAAATGAAAGGAGAACTAAGATCACAGCCACTTGCACGAGAAGAAATAAGGCTTTCTGGTTTAACTGACTCCCTAGAGCACAGTAATAGGCCCCAAACCTGACCTCAGTGGCCGCTCTCTGACGTCCCCTGGGAGATGGAGCTAACCCAGGGCTCCCCCAGGGTCAGTCTGCAAGGGAGAAAGAAGACTTGCTACAGAACGGAAGTCAGTGCACTGTTGGAAGCTGAGGCAGGAGGATCACAAATTCAAGCCCTGATGAGCACCTTAGTGACTTAGTAAGATTGTCTCAAAATTTGAAAAAAAAAAATTAAAGGGCTGGGAACCTAATTCAGAGTTTAGGTCTTGGGTTTAATAGTCCCAGTACTAGAAAAGAAAGAAAGAAAGAAAGAAAGAAAGAAAGAAAGAAAGAAAGAAAGAAAGAAAGAAAGAAAGAAAGAAAGAAAGAAAGAGAGAGAGAGAGACAAAAAGAAAAAGAATTTTTCAATGGCAGCTGATGCATGGGTCAGGCTTTATGCTTTTTTATTTTTTTTCCTTGTACTGGGGGATTGAAACCAGGCATCCACACAGAGCCACATCCCCAGTCCTTATTTATTTTCTCTTCTGAGACAGGGTCTTATTAAATTTCTCTTACCTGAAATCTTCCTGCCTCAGTCTCCCAGGGCTGTGGGATTACAGGTGTACACCACCATGCCTGGCTGACCTTCCTCTTTGGTGACAGGGGTGCTAGTGATCTCTAGTCCCACCACACAGCTCTCAACGCCACACTTCTGTCATTGCAGATGCACAGGGTGTCCCTGCTGTCTGTTCAGATGGAGTCCTGGGAGACCCCTGAGCCTACCGCCTTTGTTGATTATGACCTTCAGATCCCTCTGTGTGAGAACGAGGACATTGGTTCACCCATCTTGGACAATGTCATCCTGTACTCTCTGGTGCTGCTGCTCAGCCTGGTGGGCAACAGCCTGGTGCTGGGTTTCCTGGTGAAATACAAGAGCTTCAAGTCACTCACCAAACTCTTCCTCCTTAACCTGTGCCTGTCAGACTTGGAGTCCTCCTTCCTGCTGCTGGTGTGGGTGTCTATAGAGCACTGGAGCTTGGTCCTGTGCAAGGCAGTCAGGATGATCTTCTCCGTCAGCCTCTACAACAACGTTTTCTTCCTCACCATCATGACGGTGCACCAGTACCTGTCGGAAGTTAGACCCCAGTGCGTGCCATATGTCCATTCCCTGCGGTCCCTTGTGCTGCTGGCCACAGCCATGTGGGTGCCCAGCATCCTATCTGCCATCCCCAATGTCATCTTCTATGAGGTGATTGATGATCAGTGTGCATACTCGGGAACAAAGGGCCTGCTGGTCTCTGTCTACATGCTCAACTTCATGTTCCTGCTGTCCATGGTGACCATCTGCTTCTGCTACGGGCAAACCCTCAGGACCCTGCTCCATTTCAGGTCCAGGTGGCATCACAGGCTCATCTTTACCATTGTGGTGGCCTATGTCCTCAGCTGTGCCCCCTACAACCTCATCCTGTTCCTGCAGACTTTGGTGAACCTCAGGGTCATCCAGAGCTGCAAGACCAGGCAGCAGCTGGACCAGGCCTTGTTTGTATTCCAGCGACTGGCCTTCGCACAGTGGTACTTTCGCCCAGTGTACTATGGCCTCTTTGTCCAGTTCCGCACATACCTCAGAAGTCTCCTCCAGTATTTGTGCAGTTATATAAACTACAGGTGTCCAGCCCTGCCATGCTGCCCCAGTCTCCAGTCACCTTCACCTATGAGAGTCCCTCCTAGTACTAAGGAGAGTGACAGCACATGTGCAGGTGGACAGGACACCCACAGAGAGATAGGGGGGTGTGAACCAGGAAGGAACAGTGCAGCAGAGATGGCACCACTCTCTGAGGGGGTGGAAGAAGGACCTGTGAACTGAGATCCTGGGCTCCCTCCTAGTGAAAGAGGCCCTCACCTGGGACTGATCCTGTCACACGGGATAATACTCTTCATGCATAGTCACTCGGACCCACAGTGCTCATACCTGCTAGGGCTGCAGCTCCCAAAATACAAAAGGCTCCCAGAAAGGGGCCTCTTTCTAGCCTTTGTGGGGGTTGGGGCTCTGCCACACCATGAGTGTGGTCAGGGTACAATGCAGACAGGTTCCCCTTCAACCTCCCGTCCCAGGCCACACTTTCCCCCAGCTCATCTGTTCCCTTCAGAGGAGACTCAGTGACTACTAGGGAGGCTGCCAGAAACCCAAGAGTGACCATCTCTCCCAAAAAACACAGCAAACCTGACTCCAAAGCCTCTAACTAGACTGAAGCTACTTCTGCGACCCGGCTCCAGATGGTGCCATGGACACTGCCTTCACCTCTGCAGCTCCTGAGATTCCACCCCAGCGGTAAGCACCACGGGTGCTGCCTTTCACACTGAGTCTATTTGAAGGACCCAGAGACAATCAGGCTACGGTTCTCCCCTCCAGGTGGGATCAGCACAGCCTGGAGGTCTGGGAGTCTTCTCCTTGCATCTGGAAGATGCAAGAACGCTGATTTGGTCACTTTCCCCTAGATGTCCCACTCGGGCAGGACTGAAGGGTCCAGCTTTCCCCATCCTCACACACCTCTTGGAGCCCGCACCTCCCTTCCTTAACCCACACCCCATGCCAGGTCCGATGCTGCTTCCCCAGCGCCTCCCTGGAACCTCTGACCCCTGCAAGACAGCTGAAACCTGAAGTCCCCTGGGTTCCACTGCATCTTCCTGCCACTCCCGTCCTCCACAGCCAGGCTCTCCGAGGATCTTAAAACCCTTCCCAGCTCCCACTTGCTTTCAAATAAAGTGCAAACTGCTGAGAAAGGTTCTCCTGGCCTCCACCAACTGGCACCAACCAATTTTTCAAACATCCCACTTGCAGCCCCTGGGTCCCAGCTTAGGGTCCAAACTGAGACTCTTATTCCCCAGTCCTCTGTCAGGCTGTCACCTGAGCCTGGACCTCTGCTCCTTTTCTTCCCCAGGCTCCCAGCTCCAGCTGAGAGACCAGGTCCTGCAGGAAGCTTCCCCATTCTACAAGTCTGAGGGGTGTGCTTTGGGCCGCTGTCCCTCTTGGCAGTATTTGTCAGGCTCTGGCTCTCAAGCTGTCTCACACCTGGTTGGAAAGAGCCTGACCTCGAGCCCTGGGGTGCTAATGCTGAGAGCAGAGAATAAGAGCTGTCTCCTTCCTTGCGCTCTGTTGGGGCCATGCCACAGGGCACACTGGACCTTCCTTGCCCCAGATTGCTCTTGTAGAAATATTGACCTTCTTTCCTGGTCCACACCCTCAAAGCAAATTGCTGACCACTGTTGATGCCCGTAGCTCTGCTGTCCCTTGCCTCCTTTTGTGGTCCCCAGGGCTTCCTCTTCCAGGGACCTGCAGGTTCCCACCAAGGGCACAGACACAAGCTGTCCTATAATCTCCATGCCGATATGGCACGGGCCTAGTTTGTGAACCTGACTTTGCTCAGGGATGAGAGTCTGGAAATCGCCCAACAGGATTCTAACTTGTGCCCATCCACACTGTTAGGAACACAGGGCTGCACTTGAGAGCCCCTAGAGACTCCAGATCCCACACTGTCCCTGCAGCAGGATCTTGCAAGCCGAAGCCATGAATATGCCCTCATTGAATGAACTGTCTTCTCAAAGCCCTAAGCCAGGGCCTGGAGAGCTGGCAGAGCGTTCTCCCCTTCAGACCCAGCTGCAGACCCATCCATTGACTTGTCATGGGCTGGGGACCTGTCCAGGAAAGATCATGGGTCTATCTTAGCAAGAAAACTAAGGGCGCCTGCTAGAGAGGCAGAGATGGCACCTTGGCAACAGGATAAGAACCCATGGCCTCGCTACCTCACTCAGCACTCTTGGGTGTATGTAAGAATTTGTGCTCAGTTTGTGAGCCCTTCTCCCCTAGGTGAACATGAATTACTACAGAACCATTTCATAAATAACAAGGAGTGGTCCGGATTCCATGCACAAGTCAAAGATATGCCTGTTCCCACTTCTGTTTGTCTCAGTCTGGGCTGCTGAGACTGGACCCCACTCAGTCCACAGCCCAGACTCTGTCTCCATTTTTCTCCCCAAGAAAAAGAAGGTTCCTAAAAGGTCCGTGCCTCAGAGGGTCTGGGTCAGACCTGGGGTAGAGAATGAAGGGCACAATGCGGGCCAGGCAGAGGGGTCAGGGGCAGCACTTAGGACTTTGGTGTCTTTCAGAATTTGTGGCCCCTCTTCCTGTCCCTATCTCTCTCTTGATTGACACTCCAGTCTTCTGACTCCAAGGCCAAGGAATTGATTTCTTCTTCTCTGAGAAATGACCTTTCAGGGATGTCTCCATAATGAGAAGAAATGATTAATTCCTGCTGGGAATTTAATGTCCTGAAAACCAAATGGAAAATGTTTTGGTGCTTGGAGAGAATTTCAGAAGGGAAAGAGAGGCTCTCATAAGTCTTTAGTGAGTTATCTGGGTACAGAGCTTTACTCTCCACAGGGGCCACCCCAGGTCTCACACTGTGGGGATTCTGCAGCCTCTTTCCCTACCCCATGGACTCCTCCACAAAGGGAGGAGTGGCCAGAAGGATGGAGGGAGTTCCTTGCCTTGGCCATTGCAGAAAACCAGCCTTGCGTATCACTGGAGCTTGCAGGGAAGGTATACGTGCTAACCGGGGGTTCTCTGAAAAATGACTTAATTTGCAAATAAGATCATTGTGGATGCCATTGAGATGAGACCAGAGGAGTAAGGAGAGACTTGAATCCAATTTGCCTGGAGTTCTTATCAGAGGGGGAAGTCTAGGCCAGGACACAGGTAAGGGGAGAAGCCCACAGTAGGGCTGGTGTTGCATTGTCTCTGCTCTGAAATGCTGCAGGCTGCCATCAGGTGCTCGGAGAGACACAGAGAGCCTTCTGTCACTCAGAGCCCCAGGAGAAGCCTAGCCCAGCAGCACCATGCTCTCAGTTTCCAGGTTCCCAGCCTCAGAACTCTTAAGACCTAAATCAACAGGAAGCCTTGCAAATGTCCAGGCAGACTCTGTTGTGCTAACACAGGGTCCGTGTTTCAGTGGGTTGGAGGGGAATCTCAGGGCAACTCCAAACCTCCCAGGATGCTCCAGGATCCACCCTAAATACCCTGAAACCTCCACCTACCGAAGGACATCCACATGAAGTCCAAAGCTGAGTTCCATGGACCTCCATGTATACAGGTCACAGGCATCAGGCCTGGTTTCCCTTCCCACCATTTTGGCCAATGGGGACATCATGGAGCAGAGAGATCACACTGCAACATCCCACACTATGTCAGGTCTTGTGGGACATTTGAAAAGATACCAACACCTGCTTTCACCCAGCAATCCTGTAGTAATTGGTCTGCACATATGAGATTGAGGGGAATGCTTTAGGTCTAAATGTGTCTTCAAGTTAGTGCAGAAATTTCTGGAATGAGCCCCTTTCTCACACTTCTATCTCCACTGCATGGTTGAGAGTTCTCTGTCCAGTGATCAGCAAAGCATCACAAACCACAGTGTCACCATGATGCTGTCAAGTCCTCTTGTTCCACACACAGTTGAGTCTCTGACTTTAGATGCCAAGCAGTTATCCCATTTCTGAGGTCCTCTGCGGTGCCCATCCCCAAACCTCAGTCTCCTGAGCAGCGTTTGCCACTTGTGCCACCATGGCACTATTTCTGAACAGCTATTTCTGAACAGCTCCATGTTTCTCTTTCGCTCATCTCTTAGCCACAGGGATACAGAGTCTCTTTGACTTTAACAACTATCCTTCCATCACAGAGTATGAAACAAGAAACACAGAGAGAAAGAGATTTGGGGGAGGCCCAAGAGATTGAGGTCAAATTTGGTTCTTTTCTTTTTCTCAGAGTTTATGAGCAATTCCTGAGCAAAGTTTTCAGCTATGCCTCAGGATTCAATCGCTTCTCACTCTACTCCTTCTGCTACCACCTGGCTCACTTCTTCTCTTGTCTCTATAGTTTCCTCTTCTCCTGAACCACTGCCCTCCTCATGGCTCCCACACACATGGGGCACCATCGTTGTAGGGAGCTGAGCAACAGCCCATTGCTGCCTCTCTGCCTCTCTCTCCTATGGGCACTGCGTCTGCCTATATTAACCATAATCCTCTCCTGCTTACGTCACGTACCCAGATGTGATGGTGACCGTGTTGTATTCATCCCCTTAGCCTCTTCCTGTCCCACCTCCCGCCCTTGGCCTATAAAAGATGTGATCAATTCCTGAATAAATGGAGGGTTGATCGGATTATCTCAACTTGCTTCCATCTCTCTTTGTCTCCCCTATGTCTTTATTTAATCCCTGTTCTGCCTCCAGGCATACCCCATGGATTGATCTGCAGGCCGGATCACATCGTGATTCAGAGCTTTTGCCCAAGCCATTCCTAAAGATGTGCACAGGGCTCCATCGAGGCCACCTCAGCATGGGGTCTTCCTCATGGCATGCCAGGCTCTGGTTGTCAGATTTCTCACATGAAAGTTCAGAGCTCCAACTGCATAACATCAGTTGGAAGCACATGCTGTCCCTTCTGCCTTTCTCTGTTGATGGAAGAAAAACACCAGCTACCCAGACCCAAAGACAGAAACTGGACTCCCTTCTTCATGAGCGAATGGTAAAGTCACATTGTAGGACACACTAAAGTACAAATATTACTGTGACCGGTTTTGGAAAATATGATTATCACTGCATTGGTCAGTTTTTTGTCACTGTTACACTATGCCGGAGAAAAACAACTTAGAGGAAAACATTTATTCCTGCTCATGGTTGGTTACCTACATTTCTATTAGGCCTTTGACAAAGTGGAAGTGTGCAGTGGCAGACTGAAACCAGATAAAAGGGAGCTGGGGACCAAGGAGAGTTTTCAAGCTCACAGTAAGTCATCCACCCCCTCAACAGGGCTTAAACTGCTGTTCCTGTCAGCCCCCAGTCATGCCACTGAAGTATAATCTCTGTCCAGCTAATTCACTGGATGAAGTGAGAGCCCTGGAGAGCCCATCTCCATCCTAAAGCCCATCCTCTGGGCACAGGAGCTTCTGGGGGCACATTTCAGACCCAAGCCACAATGCTAGCACAGGTCCCTCCTCCCACCTCACTTTGTAGGGAGCTGTTGAAGCTGGAGATTGCTCAGCAGCGTGGGGCCTAAGTAAGGCCAGCCCTAAAAACACAGAGAACCCAAAACAAGCGATGTAAACAAGCTGCTATGGCTCCAAGAAGGCAGGGCCCCAGGCAAACCAGGTACACAAGTTGCTAGGCAGTGGATTGACATGGACATCCTCTTGCTGAGTGTATAAATAAACATGGTGCAGTGGCTGAGCAGCTTCTTCTCTCCCATCAGGAGAGTAAGGGCTTCACCTGACCCTAGCTTTTGTCTTTTCTTTATTTTCTCATCCTCTGGTGCTACTTCACCCCAATAAGCTCAAAAGACACATGGCTCATGGCATCACTTGAGCACCCAAATTTCTGCCTCACAAACTTCAGTCCACTCATGGCTTTGTGGATGAGATATACAGGAAGGGCTCAATAGGAGGGTTCCCACCTTGGGTGGCTGGACCAGGAAGATGCTTAAGGTCAGAGTGTAATTGCATGCCTGGCAGACAAAGCTGGTAACAGCTAGGCACCACTGGGATGCAGAAGTAGCCACTGCAGCAGGGAGTTCTGGACACCCTACATAGCAGTTGCTCCTGCAGGGAACAATTCCAGGGAACCAGTGGAGACTGTACTGTCCACTCCTATCCAGCCTCTGACACCACCTTTGACACCCAGTGGAGGTCAGAAATGATTCACAAAGCTCAGCCTGTATTCAAAGGGCAAAGACACAGATGTCCCACTCTCTATCA